TGTTTTCCAGGTATAGGTAATAATACCATGCTAACTGGGTCCCACTTGCCTTCTTCAACCTCCTCATCCAACCAGAGTAAATCCATCCTATCTCCTAAATACCTATCTGTCCATTTCCCTCCACCTTCATTCACTCCCACCACCCCAACCCAAGTGACCTTGCCTTTCCCTCCCCACTGGTTCCCGCTTTCCAATCTACTCTCCAAACTGTAGCCAGGATGATCTTTTCAATACACTAATCTGATCCTGCCATTCCCCTGCTGAAAACCCATTAATGGGGTCTGTGCTAGGGAAAGTCCAGGAGCCTTCATATACCCTACCAGGCCCTTGCCTACCTCTGTAGCTGGGCAATCCTCCGGCCCTGGCTGCCCTTCACTCAGCACCCTCTGACTACTGCAATGCCTGGGTCTGGATGCTGCAGCACGTGGCCACTCCCAGCCCTTCTCTTCCCGCTCACTACGCACCACTGGCCTGCTGTTCTCCCAGCACATGGGCTGCCTCCTATCCCAGCTCCTCATATGAGCCCCACTCTCTGGTCTGAAAACTGCCTCCTGTGCCTTCTCCTGGCCACAGTCAGTGCCCGCCCCAAGGCAGCTCCCTCTGGCCCTGCTCGATCCTCTTGATTCTATACTCTCTTTGCCCAGGGGGCTGTGCATCATGGCACTTACCACACCCAAAGCTCTGCCTTTACTTGTGTCCTTAACTTTTTAATGCCCACGTTCCCACAAGACGTTAAGGTCCACAAGGCCAGGCACCTTGCTGGCTGCTGCATCCCTAGGGCTCAGCTGGGTTCTTGACACATACCAAGGGGGGGTCTCAGGTGCCAACTGAGTAATACACAGGGAGACAAAGGTCACAGCAGTTTGCAAGAAGAGTGTGGTTGGCTAAAGGAGGATATTTCCAATAAAAAGTGTCTGAAAATACTCTCAAAATTAAGTAAGGAGTGAGGAGTGACCTGGTGGCAAAAGATGAAGAATGGAAATACGAGCTCTTAACTATTTCAGCTGTTCAGAGGACTTACCAGGACCATGACGGTTCAATGCTTGTATGTATTTAAATGTTTACTCAGTGTCTTTAACATGGAGGAGATTCTGGAGGGAGAAATGACATTACTTGGGATGCTGGATGTGGAAGGTGATGAAGAGGAGGAGCCAGGGATGACTCGGCTTTCTTTTCCCTGGAAAAGCCAAGTCAGACCACTGAGTCAGACCACTGCAGGCAAAGCTGGTGGGAGGGGAGAAGGTGGGGTGGAAGGAGGGCCCTGCTGAAGCTCAGCACACCCACAGGACAGCTGCTAAACCAAACTCAGATCCTGGACGTCAAGTACTGGCTACAAACTGAAAGCCTCAGAAGCATGTGTGCTGGTTTGATGGCCCCTGAATGCTAAGTGCCGCATAAATGTCTACGCAGGCATGTAAATCTTTACAGAGTGACACCAAAGCAAAATGAGAGTTCAGAGAGCTATTAAACTGCTACAGCTCAATGAAAGATACATTCTGTTCTCTTGCAATTGACTTGTCTAATGCTGTGCAGTGCACGCCCTCAATGGAAAGTGTCAATCTCAGGAGTATGGTTTAATGTGAACAATTAAAGCCCGAGACACACACAAAAAACAAAACTCAGAGAGAACTTTGAAGAAATAATCTGAATCATTAATTTTTCTCTCAATAAATATTTATGGAGTTTCTGCTACATGTCAGGCACTAGGGAAATAGTTAAGGACAAGACCATACTGCCCCAGTCTCTCTGCAGAACCAGAAAGACTACAGAGGGATCATGTGGCTATAACAGAGGCAAACACAGGGTCCTGGGCATGGGTATGAGTGTGAGAAGGGCACACTGAAGCCAGACCTGGGAGGTCTCTTGGGAAGCAGCATCTCAACAAGTCCATCTGGAGGAGTAAATTGAGATCAGAAGTTGGGATGGAGAGAAGCGGATGGAATCAAGACATGTTGTGGAGGTGGATGGCCAGGACATGGTGACCAGGTGCCTTGGTGTTAGCAGCTGGATGGGTGGTGGTGCCGCTTGCTAAGAGAAGGAACCCAGGGAGAAGACAGCTTCTGCCTTCATTATCCCATCAGCTATCCCAGTGAGAAAGTCCAGGTGGCAGCTGGATATGCAGGTTGACGCTCAGGAGTGAGAATCAGATGACAGATAAAGCTTTAGGAGTCACCAGTGTGACACTCTGTGAACTCTGCTGCTGAGGACTCATGGTGGTGGGGACTTGGGGTCAGCTGACTTGTTCATTCATTCACCATATCACACCTGTGGGTGCCAGGTGCTGGGCACATAGCAGTAAGGCAAAGCCCTGTCCTCAAGGAGTTTCCATTCTACGGGGACCAACAGATAAGAAACAAATACACAAATAAATTTCAGGAAGGGGTAGCAGGTTTCTCAGTCTCAGGCTGGGTGAGACCCTGGCTCCCACCTAGTCCTGGGGTGGCTGGTCAGCTGTTTCTGGGCTCCTGAAGCTGGGCCACATGGCGCATAGCTGGAATACCTGTCTCCCCATTCCCTGGAGCTTCCTCCACTTTTCTGACACAATATAGGCTGCTGTCTCTTGCAACTACTTAATGTACCCCACCAATGTTCCTGTATTCCACGGGATTGTAGCCCAACACACACACACACACAATGAAGGCCCCCAGGCCCCCCCAACTGTGTGACTGTCAGTAAATGCAACACTATTGACCAGGCCCTTCCCGTAAATCTCAGCCACAGGATTACTTCATCTGAGCAATAATCAGACTTCAAAACACAGGTAGAATGCTCTGAGTGCCATTCCTACATTTCAAGCAACTTGTTAGATCTGTCAGACCATCGCATATTTGTAAACGATACCTGGGAGGCAGCAGGTAAAAGTGATCTATGTGGAATGCAGAGGTATTCTGATTGACTTTTATTATTATAGAAAACATCAAACATTTGCTCCCACTGTCTTAAATTTAAACTGCGAACTTTAATTTTCCAGCCAAAGATGATAATTATGAAGAATATCATCAACATAGGAAAAATGCTTATGACATAATATTAAGTGAAAACAGCAGAATATAAATATATACCCATGTTATGATCAAAATTCTATAAAATTTGTATATGTACATGAGTAAGACATGGTCAAGCGAAGAGGAACGTTGTTGAAAAAATGATCTCTTCTTTTTCTGTGGGAAATTAAGACAGAAAATAACCACAGGAAAAGAAACTTAACAACGTGTTAAAGTGGCTGCCCAGCTGAGAAATTGCACTCACGGAAAACACAGGTACAATTTTAACTTGTTAAAAGAGAATATAAGCTGTTTAGAAAACAGCATCTAAAGGGTCTTTGGCAAAGCAAAATAAGCCAGTCGTCTTTCAACTAAGTTGCCAGCACAGCAGACAGAATTTGTGGCTGGAACATACTCACTCCTGGGGTCTCGCTCCCTGGTGGCAGAAGCTGCTGGGAACACAACAGAATAGATCCCTCCTGAGCAAGAGGAACCAAAAGAATATACTTTGGAAATAGAAAGTTATATTCATAATCAAAGCCCAGGTTGCACTTTTTCTGTAAATTCTTTATCCCTGAGTCAGTGTGCACATGACATAGTTCAGAGAGAAAATGCTCAGACACCACCCTACAGATAAGAAAGTGCGAGTGGTGCCCACCCAGCTGCTGATGCTGGAGGAACAGTGCACCCCAGGCACGGAATGGTCCATGTACGGTGAAGAAGCCTCCTCGTAAACCTCAGTCAAAGTCTTCAGAGAACCCCTAGTCAGATACAAACCGTTGCAGAAAATAAAAAGTCTAGAATTTGGAACTAAGAGCTGGATAAACTCCTAACACAGCAAAAAGTTTAGAACAAAGAAAACCATTCCCCACCACTAGGCTATTCCCCTACCCTGTTCCATTTTACAGAAGAGAAAACTGAGGTCCACAGAAGAAAAGGAACGTGATCAAGACCTCATAACAAGTCTGTGGCAGGAGAATCTGGATCTCTGCACCCCCTGTCCAATTGCTTTCTGCTGCCCTTGTTTGGTGCAGCCTCTGCTAACCCCAGCTCCAAGAGGGGAAGACAAAACCCATGGTGGCCCTGAATTAGAACACAAGTTCAGGTACAAAGGAGACCTGTTGTTGCTTTGCTTTGCTAAAGTAGCTCTAGCAATGTCAGTGAGGTTTGGAGAATTGCTAATAAAGGCAGGCATGCAATTCCAATGGGTGGGAAGGGAGGGTGGTGATAATTTGGTTCCTTGTTCAGCAGAGGAAGATATCTGAGTGACTTTCCTAATTTTCTCATAGGAGTCTCTCCAGGACTGAGCTGGGACCCATGTGATCATGTCCCCCCACCCCCCAGCCCCCCACAGATTCTAAGTCAGCTGGGAGCAGAGGACCAACAAATAGCACTGGTGGTCTCAAGGTGCGCTAAATTCACTTTTCTACATCAGGGAATCAGAAGCCATCATCTCTCATGAAGCATAACAAGCATTACTTATGTTTTAACTCTTTAGTTCCTTTAGAAGAAATAACCCACATTCTTAGTTGTAGCTGAAGGGACTCTCAGTTACCCTTTGGCTACAAGCCTTAAGTGAAAGACTTGTCCAGAGGTCACCAATCTTGGACAGCCTGGGAGGGGAATGAAATATTCCAGGTGTCCTATGAGGGTGTTCCTGGAGTCCCTAAGGTGGCACTGGGCAGCCCAGGAGACTTCTGCACAGCACACACACATGGCTTCAGTATCTTCTCCATGATACATGCAGCATTTTATACCATAGCCCCAGAAATTTAGGTCTCTGCATTTACAAAGGCATCACCTAGAGATTATGTGATCACTTTTAACAAATGCACTGACTTTCCCTCCCTACCCAAAGTCTGAATTTAGAGAATTCATGTTCTCAGAATTCCCTGGTTTCCTGGGGGTGTTGCCGCTGATGGTATATTTCTCTCAGGAAATCTGAGAAGAATAGGCCTGAAACCCACCGACTTACAGAAACAAAGCCCGCTGGTGGCTATCAGTGCCCGGGCTTACCTGGAACATCAATCAATCTTTTGTAGACATTCAAGAAGGCTGCCTCGGCTTCTTTGCTTCTTTTACTCAGTGCATCAATCTGAGAGGAAATGAAAGAAAGGGAAGAAAAACAAAGAGCTCAAAATTTGTCAAGAGGTAAGTTAAAAATCATTATACACCAGAGTTCCCACAGCAAATGGAAGTCTGATTTCTCCACATGGATGCTTAAGAACCGGGCCTTCAACCTCACAGGGAAATGCTGGAAACACACAAGAGGGAGCCAGCCCATGTGGCCCAGTTCACGGGGGCAAACGAGGCAGAGCAGTGCTTTGAGCATATGAAGCCATTCACGGCACTGAGAGGTGAACACTGCGAAACAAAGAGCTCAAAATTTGTCAAGAGGTAAGTTAAAAATCATTATACACCAGAGTTCCCATAGCAAATGGAAGTCTGATTTCTCCACATGGATGTTTAAGAACCGGGCCTTCAACCTCGCAGGGAAATGCTGGAAACACACAAGAGGGAGCCAGCCCATGTGGCCCAGTTCACGGGGGCAAATGAGGCAGAGCAGTGCTTTGAGCATATGAAGCCATTCACGGCACTGAGAGGTGAACACTGCGTGGGGGCTTCCCTGGAAAAAACAGTCTGGCAAGCCCTTCCCAATCTCTTTCTTCTGCAAGCACTGACTCAGAGCTGGCCATATGCCGGACGGTGTGCTGGAGGTGGCGCAGGAAGAGACAGCTCCTACCCCCAGGAGCTTGGGGTCTAGTAGGGAAGCAGGTATATAACTGAATCCCAGCCAGAAAAGTGCTAGGTGAGCAGTGCCATGGGGACATGGAGAAAGGGACATTAAGCAGGAAAGTTGGTGACCTGTGAGCAGCGTCTTTCAGAGCAGCTACCAGCATGGACAGTTGAGACACTGCAGGTAAGGAGAAAAACCATCCAAATACCCAGAGCAAAGTTTTCAAATTTGGGGGTTCATAGATACTCTCCAAGAATATTATGAAAGCCAAGGACCTCCCTCCTAGAACACACACACGCACGCACGCACACACACACGCATGCACGCACGTGGTGTATTTTAGGCCATTCATATGCCTGCTGTGTTCCGTCCATGGAATCCAGATTAAGAACACACAAATGGAGCTGTAACACACCACGGGATATGCGGGATCAGCAAAAGTCTGCTGGGGTAAAAACACACAAAGGAGCTGTCAGTGATGAGACTGGACAGAAAAGTGGGGTCAGATCATGAGGAGCTGTAAATGCCCATGAAGGAGAATGACCTTCATCATCTGGGCATGGGTCAGCATGGAATGAGCACAGGAGGGGGCAGGAAAGAGACCACTTGGAGGCTGTTGCCCTCGTCCAGGTGAGTCATGTGTAGGGCAGTGGCTGTGGGTATCGAGGAGGAGAGGCTGATCACGGAGATCAGCAGCACACTGACCGATATGAGGCCCAGAAAGCAAGGCGAGTCGAGGACAGTGCCTTGCTTGGCAAGGGTCTGCGACAGTGCTCAGGACTGCTTTGTCTTGGGAACTGACCCAGCTGAGCTAGTTTCCCCCAGTGTGGATGTCTGTCTGTCCAAGGAAGGTTAGGTGCAAACTCCTAGTATGCCGACACACATCCAAAGAGCCTCTGGTTGCTGGATCAACATGTCACAGTATTGAGCTCACATAACTACGGCCGAGACAACAAATCACTTCTTACGCCTGAAGCATGCAAGACTGTACATGCAGCGAGTTCTTACTGGCTCAGGAAAAGGACACTAAATTATATATTCCTTCTGTCCCCTCACAGAATTGTGCTGTCTCCAATGTTATTAAAGAGGCACAGGAGGCAGTTTAATTACAGGGCCTCTTACCTGAGCCAACTGACAATTTGGGAAGGGCTGAGAGAGGTCACCTGATTGAGGATGGTCAGACGCTGAGGGGTAGGAGGGCGAGCGGGAGGGCGCCTCAGAAAATCCAGCGCAGAGCACACAAGTGCAGCGCAAGCATTTCCAGCTTCTAACAAGCTGTGCTCCAAAGTTCCAATCTGAAGTCAGTTGTTTGGACACCTACCCTCCTTCCCCCAGAAAATAAGGGGGTTTCAGAATAATCCACAAGAACTGTTAATACAAGGCAGCTGTCTTTTTTAAAAATAACCCCCCCCGAATATTAACAATTCATGCTTACTGTATAATTACACAAATAACAAAAAATATACAAAAAAAATTAAAATCATAATTCTGCCATTCACTGGTAGAAGCCATACTGTCTGGGTTTATCTCTCTTCCATTTTTTTTTCCTAACTAAAAAATACATAATGGAATGAAATGTAGGCATATAGACAAACTAGAGACAGAACATAGATTAGTGGATGTTTAGGACTGGGGGTGGGAAGGAGAAAGTTTGGAGGATGATGGCTAAGGGGTGTGGGGTTTCTTTTCGGGTGATGAAAATGTTCCACAATTGTCTGTGGTGACGGCTGTACACTCTGTGAATACACTTAAAGTCAACAGATGGTAGACTTTCAATGGGTGCATTATATGGTATGTGAATTATATCTCATGATAAAGCTGTTTAAAATGTGTGTACTTGAAATCAAACCATACATAAAATTTTGTGCTGTGCTTTCTTTCACTAACATATCATGTATCTTTTCCAATACCTGTTGCAAATTCTGGGAAATGCATTAATAGCACTATTTCCACTGTATCTAACGACCACACATATAGGTGTTTGAAGTAAAAATGGATTTGGAGTTGTCCCTACAGATGTCTGGAACATTCCCTGTGTTCTGGGCCTTTCTGCTCCTAAGAGCCACATGGCCACGGAGAGCAGAGTCTGTCCAAAAAGCCAGGCAGATGCCCTGGCTGCTCTCTGCACCTCTTGCCACCCACACCGAGGCTTCTCTACCAGGCTCATGGTCTGCCTAGGGAAGGCTCCTCACTTGCCAGGTATTCTGACTGAGGGTAAAGGGTGGCTGCCTCTCCAGCAGGCACAGGATGGGATTTGGAAGGATCCTGAACACTCGCCTCCTCTTTCCTTTCTGGATTGTTTGTGGGGATGTGGGTAAGGGTTGGTTATCTACACAGCGTGCTTGGGGACTGTGTGGGTTGAAATGTACCTCTCAAAAGATGTTGAAATCCTAACCCCAGTACCTGTGAATGTGAGCTTATGTAGAGATAGGCTCTTTGCAAGTGATCAAGTGAAGATGAGGTCATTAGTGTGGGCCCTAAACCAACATGACGTTATAAAAAGGGGAAATTTGGACACAGAGACAGATGCGCACAGGGAGAGGGCCATGTGAAGATGAACGAAGGCTGTGGTCATGGTGACGCAGCTACAAGCCGAGGATTGCCACAGGTAGCCAGTAACCACCTGAAGCTGGGACAGCGGCACAGAACACATTCCCCCTCGCGGCCCTCGGAAGGGACTGACCCTGCTGACTCTTCGATCTTGGCCTTCCAGCCTCCAGACCCATGAGACTATAAACGTCTGTTGTTGAAGTCTTTAGTGTGTGGCCCTCATTATGCCAGCCCTGGCAAATTTATACAGGGACAGTGATTTTGATTCTTCCTCCTTTCCCTTCTTCCACAAATGTGGGACATTCAACCACAGTCCTCAGAGAACAAGACCAGGCCGATGAGTTCACTGACTTCATGAAGCAATTGGACTATCAGGTTTCTTAAAAGAGATGGTGAGTACTCCATGTGTGGTTGAATTTCCACTTGATGAAGTCCCTCCACCTCCTCATAAGATCATCAGAACTCTCCGGAAGAATGTGTTGATTCTGGGAATTTTGATACTCTCTATGCTCATTCACTCTTTTGGCTCCTGCCCATGGCCATTGCCCTAGACCAAGAATAGGCCCTGCAGTTTGAGTTTTGTCTATCCTCTCCCTTTCCCAGCCCATCTTTCCCGTGGTGGCTTGTCCCGTCACTGTAATACTCGGGAATTCCTTGCCACAGCCTGTGACTTCCTGTTTCTGAGCTTTCACTGACTTGGAATACCCTTCGCTGGCATCTCCATCCACTAAAGCCCAAAACACTTTAGACGCAGTGCAAGCTCCACTTCCTGCAGATGCTTGTGCTGTGTTCCCTCCAGCAGTGTTCTGAGTCTGGAGGGAGGGAGGTAAACCTAGACCCTGGAGCCAGCCTAGCTGGCTTTGAAGGCCAGTTTCACCTTATCTGTACAGTGAGGTGACAGCACCCACCTCCTAAGGCTGGGTGGTCCAAGGAGCTAACATGGAGAAGGCGCTCAGTGACTAGCACAGGGAAGTGCCACACAACAGAGACCTTGCCATGCATAAGAGCTCTCCTCCAGGTGTCCATGCAGATGGCTCAATAGGCGGGGCCCTCCTGCCTGTCCTCCCGATCATTCTGGGAGGGAGGGAGGACAGCAGAGGCACACTCAGCTCCCTGTCCTCCACCTGCCCCACCCTGCGCTGCAGGCCTTGCAGGTGGTGGGCCATGGCTGGGCATGGCAGCTCCTTACAATAGGGAAAGAGATTCATGAATGAGAAAAAGTTTAGGGCAAGGTCTTAAAGCACGGACTGTTGAAGTTAGAACCCTAAGTTAGACATCCTGGCTACCTAACATGCTCACCCCTCAAAACCGTGAGAGAGAAGTGGCGAGGACAGAGGTACCACTGGCTACACATCAAGCTCACCTCCTGCCACAACCTCACACTCCAGCCCCACCCAGTTCCTCCCTGTTCCCTGAATACATGAGCAATTTCCCCTCAGCCTGGAAGGCGCCTCCTTGGAATGTTCCCCTGATCCTAGAGGCTCAGTACAGACCCATCTCCCTACCGCGGGCCACTCCCACCACCACATGGGACTGTCCTGGAGTCCCAGGACTACAGATATGGCTCTCTTCCTCATGAGATCCAGAGTTCCTGGAAAGCCCAAACTATTTTGTAGTCTCACCTGCCTTTCCTCCCAATGAGTAGCACACAGTAGGTATTTAATGCATGTTTATTGTGTGAATGAAAATCTACTTGAATTGGCCAAATGTTTTATATGCAGAAGTGAGCAAATGCTTAAGGAATCCAGTTTCAAATCTTTATGAAAATGCTGAACATGTAGAGAGTCCTCTGTTTAGCGAGCATCTGT